AACAGTGCCAGAAATGCTTAACGACAGTTGAGGATGTCCTCAACAACTCACAGTTTTATGTCTGTTATCAGTCAGAAGTGACGAACTCTGACTCATAGACCAATTTCAATTGGGATCCAGTCTGAACTGTAGTAGAAACAGGCGAGACATTTAATTTTAATGTGCAACACATCTTGCTTACAAGAAATACAAAAGGGATCAGTGGTTCAAGTGGCCAATGGAAAGGCTTGTTGCAGTAGTAGTCATCAGTACTAAGCATATCATACAATTAAAATTAAAATAATCGTACAATGTAATGACAGTAGACCAGTAAAAATGTAGAGGTTACTTTGGTAAAAGAAGAATTTTCAGGGTGCCGGTTTAGCTCAGAGTGCGATGAGCGGGCGCCTACATGCATTATGGCTGAGAGCAGCCGTCCCGGGTTCGAGTCCAACCTGCCGCATGTCTTCCACCTTCTCTCTCTGCCACTGATCTATCTAATAAAGTTGCCCCCCCCCTTCCAAAGATGTTTAAAACAGCCCATGATGCAATATTCCTGCCACGAATTTGGTATTTTGGATTTCAGCAGCGTCCCCCACCCCCACCGTCCCAAGGTTGAGGCAGGGTTGGTGGGTGGAGGAGAAGAAGGGAAACGCAGAGTTCCTGTCCTGAAAAACACACTCCCAGCTTTGGGTGTTTACATCTCCTTGGCATGTCTGTGGCTGTTTCCATAGCGACTGGAGTAAAGGAAGTTGGGATGTCTCAGAGATATGGTGTGCCGAGTGCTGTTGACTGTTGAACCCGAAGTGGGAAATGATCAGGGAAAACAGGAAGTGGGAGAGGAAGGTGCTGACTCACCATTATCTCAGCCTGAACCTGTGGGAGTAATCAGAGCTGGTCTCCATACAAAGACCAGCTGCTTTGTTTGTCTGTTACTCTCATTCACAGCTGCACTGGCTTGGCTTTAAACACACCTGTGTTATAAGAGTAAATGGGAAAGTGCAGCTACAACAATCAGCTTCCCATCAAACTGGAGTACTGCACATTTTACTGAATGACAGTTTGACCTGAGGCAATACATTAGACATATTTTGCTTGAACCACATCAGTGAAATATGATCACATACATAACGTTTTTAAAGATATGAGTAAATTTTCTCTCCAAAAAATCTCCCAAAAGCTTTATCCCAATAAACTTTTACATTTTTGGGGATCTAGTTTCCATTCTTTCTGCAGTATATACTTGCCATATAATAATTACTGGACTTGATTTTTTTATTTTTTTTATTTGCAGAATGCAAAAAAACTCAAAAAACAAAATGTGATGAAGCTCTGCACAGCTGGATAAAGACCCCTCTGCTGAGAGAGGAGAGACTCCTTTTGGAGGAACGTCTTCAGGTCTTCTTTCAAGAAGATGTCCAATTGTTTTCTACATAAAGATCTTTCCTGACAGTTATCGCTGAAGTCCATGACCGAATCTGTTTGGTAAATGTGTGTTCTGCTCATCTTGGCAACCTTTCTGACGTTTTTCAAACATTATGAGCAAAACTCTGGAAACCAGACTAAGTGCAGTCTGTGGTTCTAAATGTTTAGACAGCAGAACTATTTTTAGATGCTAATTCCAAGTTCATCTCTGATGCATCCATCAGATTGCTGTGGAGCACTCAGAGTAGAGCACTATATAGCACTATAAAGCACTATATCAGAACCAGTCTATACCATTAATCTAAAGGAACAAAGTGATGGAACACAAACTTGCCTCCTGGCTTTAATTCAAGGTTAGAGTATACACCAGTACACCTCCAGCGTTGGTCACATGTGTAGTCAGTGACGTCATTACATTGCCACCTCTATTTATGCTTCATGTATGCAGAAATGGGGCTAGCGATGTTACAATTTTATATCATCTTTGTCGGCCAGCGCTGTTGGTGTGTTCACGGCAAGTGTCAAATGACCCTTACACCCCCGCCATCGCTCAAATGTCCTCATAAGGAATGTCCCACTAAGGACAACAGCAGTCAGCATGGTCACCACAACACAACCGAAATTACGGCAGCTGTTTGCAGCGAGCATGTTGCTTTTGAAACAGTTGCTTCAAAGATGGGGACCAGGTGTGTGACCACTCACAGCCAGCTGCCATCTTCACATCCACTTTGTGTTGAGGCATCAATAAATGAGCGATTAGATGGATCAGTCTGGTTTCAGTAGTTAACTGAATAGGAGCAAGTTGGCTACTAACTGTAATAAACTTGCAGAAATATCAAATCTATAAATGATGAAAATCATATATCACGGCAAAAAAATGTATCTGTTTGAGATTCACTGCAGTCAGTTTAAGTCGGGCAGGTTGGCTCAGGTTGGACGGCTGGTTCAATGTTGAGGGTGTTTCACACAAACTCCCTGAGCCGACACTTGGACCACTGTGAGCAACAGCAGACGTGTGCACTGTGGTCACGCCAGCATCCAATCCATCCAAGTCACATGTTTATTAAAGTAATCAAATTACAGTATTTACATTTATGTTAGACGACTTTTAATTAACTGCTTTAACCCACTTACAATGAAAATCAAAAAAAATCTTGTTCATGTGTAGCATGTTAACACTGTTGGAAGTAAAAATAACTTCAACTCC